TATCTCAGGTGATTGCAAGCAGCCCTGTCACTGAGTGAAGTGGCCATCAAACATATTTCTGGCAGTACATCTCCATCATCATTAAACATAACAATAGAACATCACATGCAGACGGAAAGCTGTAACAGGTCGCATGTCATGGTTTGGTATGAACTTTAATTCCTAGTCGTCTGTAGCGTATATTCGACTGTTGATTTACTCTTTCTTAAGGCCGCCCGTAATGATCAACGGTCCAACATTATCTGTGATTATATCAGGAATAGAGAATATTAAATCAGGAATATTAGATATTAAAAATCAGGGATAGAAAACGGCACTTGAGGAAAGGCAAATAAATCATGCCAAACGACGATAAAAGCGCCCCTGACCTAATAAACAATCCGAACACAATACGTAACAATACGGAATTTGCGAAGGCGACACGACACAACAGACTACTCACCTCCGGTCTCCTTGTTGTGCTTGACGTGAGCTGTGTTGTGGATGAATTGTAGCACAATAAGGAGTGGTTAGCTATGATTGGTGTTGGACGTACAGCCTAAGTGGGGTTGGTCGCTGGCAAAGAGGTGCAACCAAGAACCCAAGTATAGAACTCTTCCCGCTATTGCTACAAGTGACGAAGATGAGAGCGGAAAATCATTCCCCAGGTATCTCGATCAGGTTATAATCCACGTTTTAGAGGAACTAGGCATGTCTTGTATATATATATAGACTTAATTTTGGGATATTTCAACTTATTTTCCACGTCTCTAACTATCTACTACACGAACCCAACCACCAATACACCACCAATCAACGTATGCGGCCTCAGCCACCCACCTCCGTTGCAGTACGGGAACTTCTCGTTCTTCCAGCACCGGCACATGACCAGTTTCTCGCTGCCGTTGACCTTATCAAACGCAATGGTATCCACCACTTTCGCCTTCTCCAGGGCAATCAGGTGGTTGACTTGGCCCTCACTCTCTGCTAGCTGCTTCTGCAAACGCAGCACCTCGTCTCTCCTGAATGATTCGGTGGTCGGGTGGGAAGGGATCGAAACATTCATTCACCAGCCGCAGGGTATAAATACGAAGAAGAAGAAGCAGGAGCCATGGCATGATCTTGGGGTGAAGTGTGGTGTTGTTGGAAGTATATGACACAATATTGGTGAAAAACAATCATCGGAACACCATCACAATGGATACTAAACACCGTCACCACGGATACTAAACACCGTCACCATGGATACTCCCCCCATAATAGTATTCCACTGCAACATGTTAATACCACGAGCATACTTGACCATTCGCACAAGTAGACGGCTACGTCATCGTAGGAGGCGCAGACGGACAACACCCACAAGTGCTCAGTCCCTGAACCAATCAGAGCAACACACTACTAAGTCAAAGTACCGCATTGACTAGACTATAAGGTACCCTATACTACACTACTCCATTCAGAAGTAGGTACACTATACTACACTACACCTCCATGTAGAAGTAGGTACACTACTATACACTACACATCCATGTAGAAGGAGGTACACTATACTACACTACACCTTCATATAGAAGTAGGTACACTATACTGCACTACACCTCCATGTAGAAGTAGGTACACTATACTACACTACACATCCATAAATAAGTAGGTACACTATACTACACTACACCTCCATGTAGAAGTAGGTACACTACTATACACTACACATCCATGTAGAAGGAGGTACACTATACTACACTATACCTCCTGGTGCAAGTAGGTACACTACACTACACAACACCTCCATGTAGAAGTAGGTACACTATACTACACTACACC